TTTGACTTTTCATATTTTTCCCAGGAAAATCTTTCCATTTCATTTGCAAGCCTAGAAAGGAACACTGGACAGTGTATAATACTAGTGTTAATGACACACTACTTTACAAAAGAGAAGAAATACCACAAAGTAAAATGTAATAAGCTATTGGTGATTTATCATGCTCCAGGCACTGTGTGCTAAACGCTAACCGTATCTATTCTAATTGCAAAACCACTGCCATCACAGACATTTCCAGATGGACACACGGAGGCCCGGGAAGGTGACTGGCACCAGCTGCCTCAGCGACTGAAACAGCAAAGCTGGGACTGAGTCCAGGTCAGCACTGGCTCCACAGCTTTTATTCTTTTTTTCCCTTTAAGTGGAGGTGTTATTTATATTCAATGAAACCCAAACACTCTCTGTGTATAGTATGATCAGTTTTTGTAATAATACAGTGAGGTGACCACTACCGTTATAATCAAGATATAGAACAGCTCATCTCCCTAAAAAATGTCCTTATGCCCTTTTGCTGTTGATCCCATCCCCCATCCCACGGCCCCTGGCAACCATTAATCCGCTTCATGTACTATGGTTTGTGTACCCTTTTGACAACTTCACATTAACGGAATAAAGGTGTTTGGCTTCTTTTATGTAGCACACAGTATTTTTGAGATTTATCCATCATGTTGCCTGTGTTGATATATTTTTCTTTTACTTTTTTGTTAATCCTCACCCAAGGACACTTTTTCCATTGATTTTTAGAGAGAGTGGCAGGGGGGAGGGAGTAGGGAGAGAAAGAAAGAAAGAGAGAAAAAAAACATCAATGTGAGAAAGACACCCTCAATTGGTTGCCTCTCACATGCACCCTGACTGAGGTCAGGGATTGAACCTGCAACCCAGGTATGTGCCCTTGACTGGAAATTGAACCTGCAATGCTCTAACCACTGAACCCGCTGGCCAGGGCAATATTTCTTTTCTTTTTATTGCTGAGTAGAACTCCATAGTATGGAAATACCACAGTTTACCCATTCACCAGCTGTTATGAACTGAAATGTGTGTGTGTGTGTGTGTGTGTGTGTGTGTGTGTGTGTGTATGTGTGTCCCCGCCAAAAAAAAAATTATACACTGTAGCCTTAACTCCCAAATGTGACTATTTTTGAAGATAAGGTCTTTAAAAAAGTGATTAAGGTTAAATGAGGTCATAAGGGTAAGGCCCTGATCCAAAAGGACTTACAAGAAAAGGAGATACTGGGACTGCACAGAGAAAAGTCATGTGAGGGTCAAGAAAGAAGGCATTCATCTGCCAGCCAACAAGAGAGGCCTCAGGAGAAACCGACCCTGCTGGTACCTTGTTCTTGGACTTTCAGCCTCAAAAACTGTGAGAAAATAAAATTCTGTGTTGTTAGGGCAGCCCTAGTAAAGTAACACACCAGCTGACAGACATTTGAAAAGCCCTTACCCTTAAATCCCAACACTGAAGAGCCAGTATTTCAACCTATCAAGTCCTTGCAAGAACCCAGAAATTCCTTTAGAATTTCCACAAACTTCATTCTCTCAGTGTCTGCTTTTAGTAGCATCATCTAAGATTAACGAAAAAGAACTTTGCAAATTTTTTTATGAATCATAATACTTTAAGCTGTTATTTTATGAATTAAAATCAATGTGTTGATGGGTACTTTTAGATTCCACATGTAAGTGAGATCATGTGACACTTACCTTTCTCTGACTGGCTTATTTCACTTTGTGTAATACTCTCCAGGAATATATATTAATTTAAGATGAAAAACCAGGTACGCTGCCCAAGGTCACAGAGCAAAGTAGTAATGGATCGAGGATTTAAACCCGGATCTGTTTGCCCTTCTTCCCTCAAACTGCATTATTTCCACTCTAAGAGGCTGAAGGGAAAAAAAAACTTATGCCGATAACAAAGGTATTTGTGTGGGAAGAGCAACATAGAAAAGAAGGCAAAGTGTCATCTACTTCCGTTTGCCTAGGGATCCTCTGCATACCACGTCCTGGAAAGGAGACTCCCAGTCTGCCCTGACTCGAGGCCTCGGTGGAAGCACGGTTAAAATTCCTGCCACCATTCTCTCTCATCGACGTTTCTAGCTCTCTATCTCTCTCCCTTTCTCTCTGTAAAAAAAAATCAATAACATATATATATATAAAAAAAAAATTCCTGCCTCCAGCAAGGAAGACGATGTTCTGAAAATAAAACTGATCCCCTTTGAGGTGCATTAATTCTCCAAGGCCAATGAAGTGACCTTGGCTGGCTCTTACAAAGGAGCCAAATGGAACGTGAGCGATCTTTCGGGGAAAACCCAAGAGCAGAAATCACACTGGGCGAAGAGGCTGGCTGGCTGAGTAAAGTGCGTGACCACACCACATGACATCAGCAAGTTCCTTTACCTTTTTTAGGAAACGAAAGCACTGCCATGCTTTAAACAAGATTGCAATAAAGATGAGATGAACGAGCATCATTTTCAACTTTCCTATCCAAGGGGCCCAAGGGCAAAGAAAAATGAACCAAAGAGCCTTTTTAAAAAGATTTTTTTTTTTTAATGTTTTAGAGGGACAGGGAGAGAGAAAGAGAAACATCAACCACTCCTATCAGAGCATGTGTCCTGATCAGGAATCAAACCGGCAACCCCTTCAGTGCACAGATGATGCCCAACCAACAAAGCCACACTAGCCAGAGCGACCCTTTTGATATTTTAAAGTACACTGCAGGATCATAGAACCTTCTGCCTGAAAGCAGTTATTAAGATGACCTAATTTCAGTTCCCTTTTCTTACAGATGAGAAAATTTAGAGGCTAAAGGGGGCAATTTAAGTAACATGCACGGAGTGGAAAAAAACATAAGCAAAATCTCTTATGTAAAAGGAGAGAATCAAAGAGATTCAAAACGAAGTATCAAAACCTTTTAGAAAGAAAAATGTCTTCTAGCTTCATTTTTATTTTACACAGGAAATTAAAAAAAAAAAAACTGTATCATCTCCCTCTTGCAAGAGAACTCACATCATGTCAGATTCAATCGTTCCTCAAATACACACTCACTCCTTCACACACTCCCATGCTGCTCTTTCCTTTTACATTCAACTCCACATCTCTCCACCTGGCTAACGTGTTTTCACAAACTTTCACTAAATCGCAGAAGCTCAGCAAGTTAAGCATGCCTATTTATCTTCACCCCAATGTACCTACGTCTAGGAAAAACAAAAAATTAGAGGTAGCACAATCTGAATGTAAAGTGACTGTTCTTTTAGAAATTAGAAAATAGAGATGAATACTCTGGAGTAAATTTTTATTGTTTCTAAAAAGAGGGATACTTGCTCTCTAGAACAAAATGTGCCCACAGTGAATGAAAACCAGTGTCAAGCACTGTGATGGGTTATTTGCAGAGCTCACAAGGAGGTAGACTGCATGTTGGAGCCCAAATAAATATGAAATATATATATTAGAGATAACCTGAAATCTGCCCTAAGGAACCCCACTGGCATTTTAACATCCCCACTCAAGGAAGAGGGAAAGGGGCCATATGGTACACAACCCTGGACCTAACCAGGATGCCCCACAGGTGTATCAAGAGTTAGCTTGTACTAGTATATCCGACAGAATAAGAGTGGACAACCTGATATCACTTATTTGACAGAGGAGAAAGCTTAAAGCAATGGCTGTCCAGGTCCTTCTGACAGCCAATAATTCCAGTTTGGATGACCTCAGCAGTGGTAATTCTCAGAGGAAAAGTGCGCAGCAGGAATACCAAAGAATGGGAAATGGGCCCATTCACGCTTAGGAAGTAGTACAGAGAAGTGAGAATGCTCACCAGGATACCTGTCTCTCATTGAGTCAGGATTGAGAATATGATGTCTCCTTCAAAGTATTTATTTGATCCACAGACACTTGGGAGGAGAATTGATGACAACCAGATATTTCTTCCAGGATTAATTAACACAATGACTTTCTGGTTAACAAGGTTTTGACGCTCCAGAACTCAATCCAATCATTATTACTGACAAAAATATTTCTAACCTAAAAAGCTGTTGACATTTGCCGAAACCGGTTTGGCTCAGTGGATAGAGCACGGCCTGCGGACTGAAAGGTCCCAGGTTCGATTCCGGTCAAGGGCATGTATCTTGGTTGGGGGCACATCCCCAGTAGGGGGTGTGCAAGAAGCAGCTGATCGATGATTCTCTCTCATCGATGTTTCTAACTCTCTATCCCTCTCCCTTTCTCTCTGTAAAAAATCAATAAATTTTTTTTAAAAAGTGTTGACATCTATATACTATGTAAACTCTACTAATGGGATGTCCAGTTTGAACTGTGGCTATCTACCAAAATGAGAAAATTCTGAGTTATGTATAACTAAGTTGACTTAGTCATTCACATTATCTAATTCATTCCTCCCTCTGTCCCTGCACCTCCCTCCATTCCTTCTCCTCTTTCCTTACTCCACCCCAGTGGCATGCACAGGGGTCAGCTAAGTTCTCTGTAAAGGACCCGACAGAAAACAGTTTAGGCTTCTTGGGCTCTACCGTTGTAACACAAAAGTAGCCACAAGGAAGTCCATAAATGAACGAGAGTGGCTGTGTTTCAATAAAGCTCTTTACAAAAGTAGGCAGTGGGCTCCCAGGGCACACGATAGCCATTCTCAAACTTTAGCCTCCATCACAATCACCTACAGGACTTGTTAACACACAGATTTCTGGAGTGGAGCTTGAGATTTGACATTTTTAATGAGTTCCCAAAGGATGCTGATGCTCCAGGGACCACACCTTCAGAAACACTAGTATAAAATAATGGTCTACATTTTACTCATTGCCCAATAAATCATCACTTAGTCAGTTATACGGTATCTAATCACTGGGGTGTACACCTGAAACTAATACAATACTGTATGTCAACTGTAATAGAAAAATTTAAAAAATCACTAAAAAGAAAAAAAAAAAAAACAAATGGAAATAACATGCTGTAAACTTGACTGCTAATTTTATAGGATATTTCACATGAAGACTTACTGTTAAGTGCCATAATATTATCTGTTCCTGGATGATGGAAATTTATCCCCATGCGTCCTAGAAAATAAAAGTAATTTTATTTTAAGCACAAAGAAAATAATGCTTAATATAATCATTTCAAAACATTGTAAAATATGAACATTACAAAAAGCTAAAACAAATTAATCTACAACAAACAATGCTATCAAAGGCCATAAGCGATCACAACAGTTTTTAAATCAAGTCATAAAATAGACACATGAAAATTTTTAAAACAAAGCCAAAGTCTCAATAACAACAAACAAAACAAGACAAAACAAAACAAAAACTGTAAGCTTCCATTATAATCTTCTAAAATTTTAATGCATCTCCACATTCCAATTTAAGCATGCCAACTCCCTGAATTAAGCATTTTATTTAAACACCCATTCACAGTGCCCTTCAAATTCAAGCAGGAAAATAATGAATTCAAGAACTATATAAACTTTAAGCTAAGGAGGAATAAAAAAGATAAGAATTCTCATAGTGACTCAAAAATGCAACCCTTACCAGAATGGCAACTGGAAGGAAGGTGGTAAAATTTATATAATGAATTGGGGAGCAATGACTAGCCTAAGAACCTGGGGTGCTTATGGCTGCCTCTATCCCTGCTGAGTTACATGACCTTGGGCATGGTGTTTATCTTCAGATAAACATCTGTCCTTACAGTAGTTACAGCGGTTGCAAACTTCTGCCCACACTGGCTGGCTACCTGTGCTGTCCCCCTCCTTAAGCTAAGAATCATTTTCACTTTTTAAAAAAATATATTTTATTGGTTTTTTACAGAGAGGAAGAGAGAGGGATAGAGAGTTAGAAACATCGATGAGAGAGAATCATTGATCAGCTGCCTCTTGCACACCCCCCCACTGGGGATGTGCCCACAACCAAGGTACATGCCCTTGACCGGAATCGAACCTGGGACCTTTCAGTCCGTAGGCTGATGCTCTATCCACTGAGCCAAATGGTTTCAGCCATTTTCACGTTTTTAAGGGTTGTAAAACAAAAACTAAAAAACAAATAATAATGTGTGTCAAAGACCATGTGGCCCACAAGCCTAATATATTTACTCTCTGGCCCTTGACACAAAAAAATGACAAGAATAAATCAGATGTTTCAACGAATAGCCTTCAAGGGTAAGAGCGGAAGATGTGGACATTTGATTTGCTTTTTCGTTAATTATTTAGGAAAAGGAGGTGGGTGTTTCAAAACAAAAATGAAACATTGAGTTTTATAAGAGAAAAAAAATGTACTTAGTAAGTTTTCTTGACCAATTCCCACAACAAAATCATTCCTAAAACAATGCTTTTGTGTAAAGCTAATATCTACGAACTTGGCTCTCCTAGGTTTTCATGTCCGATTGTGTCAAGAGTTAACATGAAATTCTCAGGGAAAAAATCTTAATTTTTAGGACACTATCATTGTTTAAATAAATGTCAATAGCATTTGGGGAGGAGAGTGGTGCAGAGAAAGCTGGAGATAAGGAAGAAGTGATTGACTCTTACAACAAATACAGTGTTATAAACAACTGCAAAAGGCCAGTCATCATTTGGTTTTGAATTCTGTTATGGGTACTGAAGATCAAACAGCATTATCAAACTCTTTTGGCCCAAAAGGGAAAAATCACAGTATTTGCCTCAACTAAAAAGGGGGAATCATGAATTCCTTGTGTAGTCAAAATCATCCTAATCACAGAAATTTGTGAAAGGTCATTTCATATTAAGGCATACGGAAAAAACAAAACTCTTAAGTATAATGTTATTTGTACTGGTGTGTGTGTGTGTGTGTGTGTGTGTGTGTCAGAGAGAATTAAGAATGGAAAAATCATCAATAGTTGATGGATTCTGATGAAACTGTTCTAATGAAGCATTAAAGAACTTTCAAAAAAAAAATATTTTCAGTTTTCACTATTTTAAACTTCCTTACCAGGAGGAAGATATTATATCTATCTCTAGTTTTGTGGAAACTGTTTTTGCTAACATTTATATTATGGCAAAATTCTTTTTAATAATATATTTGAATGTTTCCTACAGAAAAATCATATTAGTAACAAATCATCTCTTAATAATTGAATTGACTGTTTTATTGTTTTTAAGGAATTTTTAAAGATCTTCTCATATTTACCAGAAGCTAATAATTAGGAGTTTCAAAAACTACCAATTGTTAAGAGACAAATTTAACAATACCTATGTGTCATATGTTTTTCCAGCTCCTAAGTCAATTTAGAGTCCCTAAAAATTATAGTCTGCACCATATGCCAGGAGTCCTATCTCCTACCATCACCTTGATCAGAACCTATTATAGGTAAATTTTGTCACCAGAACAGACTTAGACTCAGCAGAGAGAACTTAATTCTGATTTTAGTTAGCTATATCAATATTCTCGTCATTATTTTCAGATAACCAAGATACTCTGTGGATTCATAGCCACCAAATACTAAAAGTCATGAACACTAGATATGATTTATTCATATTCTGAGGTATTCAAATTTAACTGCAAAATAGCCCAGTCACTGCAAAGTCTGCCTAAAATCCCGATGAGAGTTCAAAATCACTGCCTATCCGAACTTTAGGAAATATTACGTAGATTAGATCTCTCTGACCTTTAGGCAAGGCATATTCAGGGGTAAGTGTGGTTCTTAAAAGTCAGGTGTTTCCTGCCGAAACCAGTTTGGCTTAATGGATAGAGCTTGGGGACTGAAGGGACCCGGGTTCGATTCCAGTCAAGGGCATGTACCTTGGTTGCGGGCAAATCCCTAGTAGGGAGTGTGCAAGAGGCAGCTGATCGATGACTCTCTCTCATCGATGTTTCTAGCTCTCTATCCCTCTCCCTTCCTCTCTGTACAAAAATCAATAAAATATATATTTAAAAAAAAAATAGGTGTTTCCTAAACATTCCTAGAATAACAAAGGGTTATCAAGAAAACAAAGTAAGCCCAAATTTAGCTGATCCTCATTCAACTTTTCTTTCCTGTGTTAAGCACATTAATGGTAAAGAATTATGTAGCTTATGCCTGGCTCATGTGGCTCAGCGATTGAGTGTTGACCCAAGGACCAAGAGGTCACTGGTTTGATTCCAGGTCAGGGCACATGCCAGGTTGCAGACTAGATCCCAAATGGGGGACATGCAGGGAGGCAGCCAATCAGTGATGTTCCTCTCTCATGGTCATTTCTATTTCTCTATCCCTCTCCCTTCCTCTCTCTAAAAATCAAAAAACACATTTTTAAAAGAATTAGGCACTTTACAATCACTGCATCAAATGATAGTTACTGTATGTTTCTGTATGCCCCTCTCTGAGGTCCTCCAGAAGTTGGAGTCTTTTTGGATGCTTTCCTTGAGGTTTTAGGACTTTTCAGCCAGGAAAAATGAAAATGAAAAGAAGCTTGGTAGCTTTCTAATCAATCATCCTCCATCCCCACAATGATTTTTTCTGATTCAATCTTTCTAAAGATGCAGCAAAAACCAGGGCCTTGGGCAATGTTTTGTAGACAAAAGTGTTACTACTTGCTAAAAAAGCAGAAATATTTTGCTTTTCCTGATATTCTCCCTAATCCTGCTGGCCTCTATGACCCAGTGGATCTCTGGATCAATATATTCAATAAAATATAAAACGCTCTGGGTCAATGCCAGACCGGCCAGAACAAATTATTTAAATATAATCTATTTTTTCCCAACTAAATGCAAATTATTTTTAGTAAAACTACTCATGGCTTCTTTAAGCTACTTTCATTACCTCTTCAAAAGTTAACGTTTAGATTATAAAGTGCACTATATCTTCATTGGAGAAAAAATGAGACAATAGAGAAAAATACAGAAAACAAGATCACCAATCAAAGACAAGCTCTATTAACTCCCTGATTTACAGTCTTCCAGTTTAGGAATTGCATATGACCAAAGGTTTCTTTTCTAAAATCGGGGATTATTTTACAATTTTATTTTTCATTTAATAGTTTGAATGCTTTAAGTCTTTATGGCATTTTGGAGGAGAGACAAATATATAACAGCAAAAGAAAAATCGACTCCAAATTCAGATGAGGCCACTTCTTTTTCCTCTCTTTTGTCCAACAAACACTGCTGTTTAATCAGCTGCAAAAATAGAACCGAGTGTGTGACATCTGGCGATTTTTGCTAATGCCGTCTGGTGCTGCCAGCGTGACATTTTGTCACCTGTCCACGGTCTGCTATTTTTAAATTGTTCTTGTCAGCTAGTTGTCTTTTAAGTATAGAGTAAAATATAAGGTTTCGAAAACGGGAAGGCCTACTTGGTTTTACTGAGTGGAATGATGCTGTGGAAACCTGAGGCCGTGGCCCACTTTCCCCACTGCACGGGGCCTGGTAAACGGGGGTGAGAGGGGATGGAGGGAGAGTGTGGAGAACGGGGTTCCCTATGGTTATTCCGGTAGTAAAAATCAGTCTCATAAGCTCAATTCACATTCATAATTAAAAGGACAGTCATTTAAAAACAAACAAACAACAAAAAAAAACTACCTCTACTATTATTCAAAGTGTCAGAGTCCTGGGGGGTTGTGGGGGGGGGGGCAATGGGAAGATATGTAAACATGTAACACCTTAATAAAAAACAATGGGGGAAAAAGACAAAGTGTCAGAGTCCAACTAAAGCTGTACTTTTATATGTTCACAATTAAAATTAGAATTCTTATTAATTCATACTTAATTATGCAAGTCACCTTTTCACTTCTGCTATATGTTATGGAACAACTTCCTGTAATCAACCCCACTTGCTCTAGAAAGTCAAGTTCTTCAAGAGACCTTCCCAGAACAGAATAATGTGAGTGCCATGTTCTAGATAAGGTTATAAGACAAAAGGAATATTCTACTGGATTCTGTTTCCTAGTACTTTTCTCTATAAAGTTGGAGGTATATTCCTTCAGAGAAAGTATCCACAAGATGTAATATCGATAATATGATATGTAAGAATACAGCAAAATGGTCTTTTAAATCCCTTTCAAGGAAACATGATTCGGGATTGGTACTATAATATTCTAAGTATGTCCCAAAGAACCAAGAAGAAAAAGCTGTGA